GATAAGGTAGAATCCGAATTGATGCAACTTCAACAGGAAGGTGTAATCGAACCTGTTGAGTTTTCTGATTGGGCTGCACCCATTGTACCTGTGTTGAAGGGTAACGGTCAAATACGTACTTGTGGAGATTACAAAGTAACCATGAATCAAGTTGTGAAACTCGATTCGTAACCGATTCCACGAATCAAAGATCTTTATGCAACCCTGAGTGATGGACAGACTTTCACTAAGCTTGATTCAAGTAATGCCTACTTACAACTGCCACTAGATGATAAATCCAAGGAGTTCACTAACAATAAAAACACACCGTGGACTTTTCAGATATAATCGCCTACCGTTCGGAGTATCATCAGCTCCAGCGATTTGGCAAAAGTGTATGGATAGCCTCCTAGAAAGAATTCCGCATGTGTGTGTATTTATTGATGATGATCTGATCACAGGAGAGACAGAAGCTGAACACTTACACAATTTAGAGTCAGTATTGAATAAATTTTCTGAAGCGGTAATTCATGCTCGTAAAGAGTAATGTGTTTTCCAAGCAAAAGAAGTAGAGTGTCTCGGATACCGTATCGATGCAGTGGGCCTACATCCACTGGAAAGCAAAGTTCGCGCGTTGATGGATGCTCCTGTTCCGCGTAGCGTAACTGAATTGAAAACATTACGGTCATTTTGTATCCAAATTATCAACCGTGTTAGCGCCACTGTATATACTTCTGAACAAGAATACTAAATGGTACTGGGGAGTGACACAAGATGAATCATACAACGAGTCTAAGTGATTATTAAATTCTTCGAAAGTACTTGTTCACTATGACCCAACGAAAGAATTGATACTTGCTAATGCATGCGGTGCATCACACTACAGACTCGGTGCTGTTCTCTCTCACGTAATGCCAGATGGCTCTCAGACACCAATTACCTTCGCATCACGCGTATTATCACCCACCGAGAAGAATTGTTCTCAGCTAGAGAAAAAAGTGTTATTCTTACTTGTTTAGCAGACATTTTGAAATTCTCAATGATCACAAGCCGTTACAAACCTTGTTTAATGAAGAAAAAGGTGTCCCAACAATGGCATCATCGCGAGTCCAACGATGGAATCCCACATTATCCGCTTACGACTATAAGTTTACGTGTAAGCCAGACAAAGATGGGCCATGCCGACACGATGAGTCGATTACCACTGCAAGATCAACCGTCCAACATTCCTATACCTACTGATACCGTGTTACTGATGGAATTCCTAGACACATCACCTGTAACGTCAGAGGATATCAAACGATGGACAGATCGTGATCCAGTTATTATCACAAGTTCGTAGATTCATTACTAACGGTTGGCCAAATACATTGTACCAGAAATCCGTTGAGCCAGAACTCAAACCATACTTTGTTCATAAATGCGAATTGAGTGTTCAAGATGGCATAGTTCTATGGGGCAGTGAAGTCATTGTGCCGCAGCAAGGACGATCGCGTATACTAAAAATGTTACGTGAATCACACCCAGGAATAGTTCGCATGAAAGCATTCGCTCGAAATTATGTATGGTGGCCATATCTAAATGATGAAATAGAGACTACTGTTCGCAAATGCAGTACTTGCCAAGTTATTGCGAAATTGCCCGCACCTATACCAATGCATTCATGGGAATACCCAAAAGGACCATGGGATCACATACATATTGATTATGCAGGACAGTTTCTTCATCAAATGTTTCTAGTAATCATCATCTGTGCATATTCAAAATGGATGGAAGTATTTCCGATGAAATCTACTACAGCTGAAGCTACAATAGAAAAACTACATATTGTGTTTGCACAGCAAGGATTACCATCTACAGCCATATCCAATAATGGTCCACAGTTTGTCAGCCATGAGTTTAAGACATTTATGCGAGCGAATGGAGTTACACACATAACTTCCGCACCATATCATCCTGGATCCAATGGTTTGGCAGAGCGATCTGTACAAACATTTAAGGAAGGGATGAAGAAGTTGAATAAGGGGAGCATTTCATCCAGAGTATCACGATTTTTACTCAAATACCGTGCTACACCACATTCCACGACAGGAAAGTCACCAGACATATTACTGTGTAGAAGAAAGTTGAAAACTCACCTTGACCTACTTCAACCTGATGAATCAGCGAAAGTGCGACGTGCACAGACGACTCAGAAATTATGGCACGATATACACTCAAAAGGTGGAGAATTCTCTATTGGATACCGTATTTGCTTATAATTTTAGATCTAGTGTACAATAAGACGCCATACAGATCATCTCAAAAAGTGATTGTTAGATGTTAGTGTTGATACCAAGTTATATTCACATAGTGATAGTGAAATAGTCAGTAGTGATATTTTGTTTATTCCAACCACTACACAGATTGGTGTACCCAAAATCCCTGATAGCATAATTCAAAAATCATCAGATTTAGGAAATTTACCTAGTACACCGAAACCTGTTGAGTTACGACGTTCAACTCGAATTAAAAGGGCACCAGAACGTTTAGATTTGTAAAATGTTTATTACACTAGTTAGTAATGTGTTCTTACTTTTGAAGTTACAGAAAAAAAAACTGTTTGAGCAACCTTAATTTTGTGTTTCAGAGCAAATTCAGAGCAGGGAAGGTGAATGCTGAAGATTCACTAGCAAGCGTGATTTTTTTTCTGGAAACCTCTCCCCTCTAGTTAGGTTATTTTGTTATTTATATTGTTGTAATTTTTGGAGTTTTATTGAAGGCAAATTGCAGAACTCTTATGCACACAACTAGCATTTGTATGTATTCAAAATCTTAAGAAAGGGGAATGTAGTATATTCACATTTTATTGTACTTGTGAGATGACCCTTGACCCTATCATAGCTAGCTATTTGAGACGCCCCTTAACTAGTGTCGTCTGCGCCTGGAGATGCCCGCCATGTTGTAAGTTCCGTAAGCAGAATAAACCTGTTACTGGATTGATCTTGTGTTTCTTGTGTGGATACATTACATTTACGAGAATCTATAGCGAATGGTAGATTGTGATTATGTCATCGTGATATGTTGCACGATGGTTTTCCATAGAAACGAACTTGAACCAACAACATTTGAGCCCGGTATTTGAGACGTACGATTAGAAAAATCGTGAAAAGGTACAACAAAGGTAGTAATAATATCATGGTACACTTACCGGGTTGGAAATTGAAATTCTCATAGTGAACGATGTAAATCAGAAAAGATAACTTGCGAGACAAGATGAGACGGTGGTTGTACGTGTTGTAGCAACGGCGCAATGTGTGATGATTGTTGTAATTGAACATGCGTTACGTCATCAGTGCGCTTCCATTCGATTGTTGAAAACACCGCGATAAAATGCGGTATTTCTTAAATTAGTTTGCAAAGAAAACGCGTGTTTATTTACCGGTATTGAAAAAGAATTGGTTAAAACTAATTAAACAAAGTAAATGTGAAAGTTACTGTGTACGGTGCCCGGGGGTCCGACTTAAAGAATGATCTGGTACGCATGTCTGTGAAAAAAAACGCGTTAAAAGGGTGTGTGTTTTTTTAAGAAAAGCACGTTAACGCGCGTTACGCGTTTAGGGTTACAATTTCAGTCAAAATAGACAAAAAGGGTGTCCTTTCCGTTTGACAGTGCAATTATCATTATGAACATTCTGCCTTGATATGTTGAAAACACATTACAGCACCATTGTTAATTTTCAATTAAATAATTTGCAAATTCAAAATTGGTTGTGAAAGACCCCAGGATGAGTTGAGGTAGAGTGGGTTGTATTTATGGGTTTCAGATATATATGCTCAATGATGGAAATTGTTGAAACCAAACTGGAGAAATTTATTGATGTTTGCATATTCCTGAAAAATGAATATGATCTTAACAAAATATGTTGTAGTATAAATCATTTAGAAGTAAAGATATTATAGCCACACTGTGAAGGTGACTAATCACAGTGTTAATTGTCATTTAAATGCTAACAACATTTCTGCTTTAATTTTGTTTCATGCCGTAAATAGATTTTAAAACACTCAACGCATTTAGGGTATGTATTTTAGCTTATTTTAGTTAAAAGGGTACGAAATTTTGACATTTTAAAACGTGTTTAGGGTCATTTTGAAAACCCCTTTCACAGACATGGGTTCCAGGTATTTCCACAAGTCGGACCCCCGGGGTGCGTTGGCAAGGTTTGACATAGCGCCCTCTAGCGGCGATATGTAGATAACCATTGTTGTTCGCTTAGCGTGCGAAGTTACTACCGGTAGCACTGCCTCGGAATATTTATTTTGCGAGGTCACGGTCATGTTCAACGAATAAAAACGATGATATGCCCTGAGTCAGTGTTGATCTAATGAAATAAAATAAATAAGAGGTTATGTGCGACAATATTGTCAACTGACCATTGCTTCCTTGGCCACAGTGCAGTGTATGATTTATGAGAAAGAAATAATGCAAGGAGTTGTGGAGATTATTGTATTTTCAAGTTTTCGCATTTAAATACTTGGTATCAAAGAAACAGTTTAATAGTTGCAATAGCATCATCATGAAGTTACATGGCATCAAGAGATTACATTTTAACCAAATACAAATAGAGTTATAGCGCCCGCAGTGTTAGTTACTCTTATTTCGTTCATTGGAATCAGCTGGCGACAGATAGCATCGTAGAAGACGCCAACGTCGTTCAGAAGTATTTAAGCAGTCAGATCACATCGTTTACTTGAACCAAGCCACAAAGTATGTTGTGGTTACAGAGAACGTTAGCTGGGTTTCATAAACCATGGAGTCGCCAACAACGTACGAACACAGTGACGCGATGGTTCCAGACCAAAAAAATGCCTTCGTTTTCACTGGAAATATCCGAGTCAAATTGGTACGTCGTTTGGGCTTCATTTCATCATCACGACATTGTCTTCGAAAGAGAGTCAGGTTCCTTTTGATAATGTCTTTTCTTATTTTAACGTTGCTGCTGGTAATTGGTGTCCGATCGCCTAATGTAAATTCACCTCCTGACCGCCAATCCGCGGAACTATCATTAAGTCGGCGTCTTCCTCTCGATGTGAAGCCAACCAACTATAAAATAAAATTAACACCATATCTAGACGAAGAGGACTTGGAACGCCTTTTCACGTTTGACGGGGAGGTGTATATATTAGTGACCTGCCGTCAAATGACCGACACTGTAACACTGCATGCTGCCAGTCTTAGCGTTGACATTGAGTCCATCCAAGTCACGGACATGAACGGTGATGTAAACATGGGAGTGGTCGCCACAAACATTGTATCCCAGTTTGACTTTTTCGTGATAAACTTGAAGCATTCGCTACAAGTTGGTCGCCAATATATAATGTACATGAAATATTCCGGGAATATGACGACCGACAACAGGTGGCTGGGTTTTATTGCAAGTTACAGTGGAACCAGGTAAGGGACGACGTCAAAAGATCGATGTCGGATAAAAAACTTAAATCCTTTAGTTTTTTTTCCAAATCCCCCTACCCCCCACTGAAACTTAGTTGATAAATATTCGTCATGGCGTCAGACTACATTCACTATTAAATACAAATTGATAATCGAACAGTAGTATTGCATAGCAGTTGGTTGTCGGGTGGGTGTAAAGAGAGTTTACAAATGCACCTCATTTGACGCACAGATTTACACTCGAACCAAACCATTTTTCTGTGTTTTTTCTTCTCTTTTCGGTTATTTCTGTCCATGATTGGATAGAACTACAAATACTCCAAGATTTTTTTGACTTCATTAAAAAATAAAATCGTTTTTGTAGGATGGAAACTTTTTGAGGTCAAAACCCCCCACCCCCAAACTAAAGGAAATAAGTTTTTTATCCGACATTGATCTTTTGACGTCGTCCCTAAGTCCGTTAAATTATGCATTTACCTACCAGTCGCCTAGTACCAATACAATTTTCTACCCGTAACAGTTCTAAACTTAATGACGTTTTATTCCGTGATCGTAGATGCATTTTTATACTTTTTCCTTTTAAATGTGTTGTTGAAATCTACCTTGGATAGAACTTACTATAGCTTTTTCATGACAATATCTGATTTTTTACAAACGATCCGCAGCATTTCACTTTTTCGCTATATTATATTTGTAAGCAGTGAGACAGACAAAGGGTGAAATTGGGACTGAGGGTGTGACTTTAACTTTAAAGTTGCCTTACACTGGGGAAGTATCTCTCTGCAGAAATAATTAATGCAGCAGTAGATATCTGCACCAGACGTTTCTTTCCAATAGTTATAAATTACTCAGTATTTTCATAGATTCATTTGCAATTGAGTTTTCAGCATTCTAGGGCGTCATCAAGTCGCATATCTGTTTAATGATCAAAGATGAATCATATTACAAAATTAGTATCCAATGTGAAATATTTTCCATTAGGTATAAGATGAACAACAGACTCTGAGTTGTTTTCTGTATAACCATTAGATCCCTCCCTTTTGAATTATAGAATGATTATTTTACAAACATTGTGTGAGAATGAACTTAGAATATAGAATTTATCGATGTACTTCCTACACTGTAGGCTGTAGTTGTGTTTAGAATGAGCTTAAAGCAGGATTAACATCAGCAATGCATGATGGGATTTATTGTATAAGAAGTTATTCAATAAATGGTACAATATGTCAGGTTTTAATTCTTGAACGCTATAACTCTCAAATTTGATTTTTGCCCAAATTTACTCAAAATTGAAACTTGCATTTTGCCAACAATACAAATTCAAGATCAATAATTGATGAATAAATAGCAAGTTATATGTGGAAATGCTTTTGCAATAATAGAAGGTTTTAAACAGTTTGTTTACCGGAATCTATGTATGTCAACTTGCTTTGGTTATATAATGTGTTTTTGTTTTCTGAGTCTGCAATAAATTGCTGGAAGAAAGTACTGTTATTGTGACTGAATACATGTTGTTTGTTTGTTTGTTTACCATACTTGATGAACCTGTCTGTAGATATATTGCTTCCACACACCTGGAACCCACTTATGCTAGGTCTGTATTTCCATGCTTTGATGAGCCTTCGCTGAAAGCAACCTTTGACATCACAGTGAAGCACAGACTGGGAAGATCTGCGCTGTCCAATATGCCGAATATCAAGAATCACACACAAGGGGAATGGAATACTGCATACTTCAATACAACAGTCGTTATGTCAACCTACCTGGTAGCGGTAGTTGTGTCTGATTTTGAATGTAAAGAAGCTGTTTCTGAAGGTGTACAGGTGTGTATAGGAAATGAATGAATATTGAATTATTATGCAGATTTTGTTATTTATGCTGGAATTAGATGCGCGTCATGCAAGTGTACCATTATGATACACAGACATGCATGCTCTTGTTTGCAGTGATGTTGTATATGCTCAATTTCAGACTAGCCATGTAACTCTGTTGGTCATGACTGCATATGACGTTTAGTGAAGTATTTTCGCAATGTTTCTGAGATGTATTTTATTGGTCTGAATCAAAATAACTCATCGATATGTGGTTTGGATATATACATGTAGATTCCAAATGTGATGTGATAATTTTTGCTGTTCGATTTGTTCAAATTAACATGCGTAGTGATTACTAATAAATAGTTTGGTCCACACAGTAAAAATTTGTTGTCAATTCGTCAAATACAGGATCAGATTTCATTGTAGAGTCAATGGGACTGCACACTGCATATATGATGTGTATTCTACACTACCCTTTACACGTAATTCATTAGGCCTTGATTCAATATAATTCCTGATTTCTGAATTAATAGCTTTTGTGCTTTTATTGTGCTTTTATGTGCTTGCTTATATTGTGTGACCTGAGGTCATAATCCCCTCAAATAAAAGTGACATCATCTTTCAACTAACTAACATATTTTGGGGGGCATTTTGGGAGTTAAAAAAACTATGTCATGGTCACATTTACTCAGCGAAACACACACGTTCCATATCTATTTCATTTCATTTTCTCAGTGAAAAATCATCTGTTTCATCTGATATTCCTCATTTCTCATCTGTCTTGTATAGTTCTTCTAGCTGCCCTCGTTTGTACCCACCCACACTCACTCAGCTACCTTTTAAAAAACTGTTTGAAATATGCTGCTGACTTCTTCCATGGTTGCATCTTTATTGTTCCTTTGACTTTTTATATTGCTGTCCTATCCTCACCTGTTGCTACAAGCATGTGCAAGTAGAACTACCGTACATCGCATCTCATTAGTATTCGGAAATTATGAATAAACCTGGCATATTGTCTCTATTATGTATATTGAGGGGGGCATGGGGGGGGGGTAGCTGGTACAGTTTTACAGTTTACAGTGAATTGTGTCATCTAGTCGTTTTACAGTTTCGAAAATGTAATTTCCCTTGACTATTCTTTATGACTTTTTTCATTTGGATGTAAATTCTTGTACGTACCTAGAAAAATGACACATTTTTACAGTGTACGAAAAAAATATTTAATTGATTACGTTGTACGTCTAGCCTGTGATTACAGAATTATGGAATTTATTTGTTTTCAATTTATGTTGTACGAACAAAAAAATATTGCAATTACGTTGAACGAAAAAAAAACCTTGTCCCCCCCCCCAAATTGGCTGAGTTTAATTTACAAGGAACCGACCATGAATGTAGTTGTTAACTGAAATACCATGAGTTACAATGAATGAATAATTATATGACAACAAAAACAAAAAGATGAAATAAATGCCAAAACCGATTTGCTACATTACTCATGAGTGGAATGGTAATCATTGACCGTCTTTTCAGAACTTTTCAGTCAAACACATCAAATGAATAAAGATGTTTCATATCTTGAAACGTCTTTATTTGTATAGCCATTCTAACCAAATCCTTAGTGGGGGTTAAAGGTAATGATCGACTCCTAATACAAAGTTGTGGTTCAAACGCAGCTAAGTCACCCTTTTCAATAGTTGACAACAAACTTTGATCAAATTCCAAACCTTGTCACTTATAGTCAATTTCTAAGTTCTAATCTACATACTAACGACCAAACTGTAGGTGCTTAATTAACTAATTAATTAACTAATTGCTTATGAAAAAATGGGGGTGTTACTAATAAGCTTGTAAAAAAAAATGTTAAATATTGAACATACTGTAAAACATGTCTTTTTCGCGAATTTAGCGAGAGAACTGATTCGCTGATTCAACATGTCGTTAATGATTTTATTATCAATTTAAAATGGCTGCCAGACAAAGAAATCAACCATGACAAGAGAGATTCGTTAAATCAACATTTCGCTATAACGTCATTTTACCACAATTCGCTAAAATTGCATGCCGCTTTTTCAACATGTTTTACAGTAATTCTTCTTTTTGTGGTATTGAATACTCTTAATACTCAAAAAAAAAATATTTGTTTCAATTTTCTCTGGAACATCTCCAAAGCAAAAACCTTTTTTTTGTCTAAGTGCAAATTTGAAACAATTCATATCATTAGCTGCTTATAACTATGTGACTTTGTGATGTCATTATAATTATTTAGTTCCGTGTTTGGTCCGCCAAAGATGACTTAAAAGATACTCAGTTTGCCTTGGAGATTGGAATGCAGTTTTTATCATATTTTGAAGATCTGTGGTACATACCATATCCTTTGCCGAAGCTAGGTAAGTTACAATGGTGGAGAAAGTGTATGTTGTCTGTGATTTTATTCACCTGTTTGCATTTTCTTATAAAACTACATGAAATAAGAATATTTTTATTCAATCTTGAAAAATGTCAATATAATTATTATAAGATAGTTTAGATGTGTGTTTTTTTTTATATTGACACAATTGATATTTGTATAAATTTTAATAGTTTTAAAAACAATGTAGTCACTTTTTTTAGAAAGTCATTTTTTTGCTATTTGTGTTTTTTAATATTTGATAAATGTTTTATTTGTGAAGTATTTTATTATGCAAGCCTGTAATTGGGGTTTTTGCCTGTTGGCTTTAGCTTAATAGAAAAATAGTTTAATATTTATTTTATTCATATATTTTATTTTACTAATTATTTCAACTTTTGGTTTTCATCAAAACCCATGTTAATTAAAATAATGTAAAATAAGATATGTTTGATAAGATACAACAACACAATTACAAAAATGAAAAACAGTAATAATAAAACAAAAGATATGAAATATAATGACAATTTATCAGACTGGCAAAATGTATAGTTTTCATTTATGTACCATATTTACTCTATTAGTAGCGCATGCATGTGCAAATATACAATACATGCAACTATTGGGTGCATTGCAAATAAGATAATGTTTTGATTATATTTTTTAAAGATAATACGCTTTTATTTTTGTGTTCTATATTTATTTTTTATATCTGTTATTTGTTTCAAGACATGGTGATAATTGATATAGATGGCAGTGGTGCAATGGAAAACTGGGGTTTGATAACATTTAATAGTCCTATGGTGTTATATAATAAAGTTAACGATTCACTGTCACAACAAGTGACTGTTGCAATGACAGTGGTTCATGAATTAACACACATGGTAGGTTGAAGGCACATATGCTGCAACTTTTCATCTAAAAAAAGTGTGAAGTAAATCTTTTGTTGTTTAAATATATTAAATGTCCCTGTTGTCTCAGGCAAGCAAATTACTAGTGTTATCATTTGTTAAAAAGGTTATCATAAGATGGATAGATTATACAATTTTTTTTTTTTTTTTTATTGTATTTTTTTTTTGTGGATAGCAAAAATGATCTATTGTAATTTTTACTATAATTTCCCATTACTGTATTCGGAATATTGCTCAAAACAGTTCAAAATAATTCCTAGTATCACAGCACAGAAATTTAGCAAACTAATATTATGATTTACATAAATATGAATAATTAATGTGTTTATTTATTTTAATATTGCAGTGGTTTGGTAATATAGTAACCCTTGATTGGTGGGATGACACGTGGTTGAAGGAAGGTTTTGCAGATTTCTTTCAGTTTTGGGGAGTAGACCATTTAAAACCAGGCTGGCATGTAGTAAGTATATAAGAACTTAATTTTTTCTCCCATAATCACCATGGCAACCTGCATCATTTGATATCTGTAGGTGTTAAAAAGTTCTCCTTCTCCGTCATAATAAATATTTAACTCTTTGAGTGCCAAAGTCAAATTCTGTTACCATTTACGAAAAAAAAAATTCACAGATTTTTTTCAAAATTCTGAATAAGACCTGTAGCTCATAGAAAATGATGTCCAAAATGATCAAAACAGTTTCATAGAAAAATACTAAAAAATCAGCAAAATGGTGCACAAAGATTTTGGTGGGAAGAATTATGACATTCTAATGATTTATATTAATGTTTGTCATAAGTTGTGTACTTTTAGTCTGCAAAATATAATGATATTTATATAGAAAATAAATGTCTAAAGTACCATTATTAATATTAATATTATCATAATGCTTCTAATATCTTTGGGTGGATACAGTACAATCACGTTAATCAAAATAAACACTATCAGTTTACATAAATGTGATTTTTTTGCATTTTCGGCCCAAAAGATAGCTTTATGTTTAATTGTTGACAAATAGGTGAGTGTATGTTGTATTATAAAACAGGAGACAAATATTAATAAGATACGTCTTATGAAGCCAAACAAAACAAAATCTTGATTTTCAAGCAAAGGATTATGGGTAAAGTATGACATCATATTATCTTTACCCATAATCCTTTGCTTGAGAATAAAGATGGCTGACAACTTAATACTTTATAATACCGTAATTCAACTTTAATACCAAGTACATGCTATCATATCATACCGTTCAATAAGCTTTAATATGTAAAGTTAAATATCAAGAGAATGAAAAGTGATATAAAAAAACTGTAAATTGCATTCTCCTACATTTGTGAAGCTTTTCCCTCAGGGGTCATTATGTTGTTTGGATTGATGTTTTCTTTAAAGTAATTACACTGTTTTGAATTTTGAAATTTGAAAAGTAGTCTCTGTCAATTAGTCTAAAACTAATTTGTGATTGCTGCTGATTTGACATTGTACTAAATAATATGTGTATTCTTATTTCTGTTTAGTATGAAGAGTTCTATCAAGATAGGATAACATTCCAAGCATTTTTAGCGGATATGGATCCTGATTCCCAGTCTATTGTCGCACCAGCCGGAAAGTACAGACCACCTGTGGAACAGTTTGCTACAACCTCCTATAAAAAGGTACTATATGAATATTGATAGGTTTAAGTTTAATATATATTGTAATGAGATTGTATCTACAGTCCTGTAGCCTTGTCATCACTAATCATCAACAACAACAACAAATCTGGATAACTTTCAGTATTTCTGAGTGTGTTAAAATAATATTGTTTGATTTTGTATCTTGATACAATTGATAATATTTTTTGTGAAATAAAAATACTGTTTTGGCAGTAAACAGTATTCGGTTCAATGAAATAATGAGATTGATTTTCTGTATGCTAGGGAAACCTGGGACACATATTTCATCAAACAATTACTGCAATGTATGCAGCCAAAGAAGGTTTTCATTTTATTCTGTATCAAAAAAAAAATAATTTAAGCATGCTTAATAACAACTTGAAATATCCACATTGCCTCTCGTACACTGTGTTGATTTCAAACTTAAATTAACTGTGACCGATTATTAAAGATACGCTATGAAATGTACAAAGCTACAGAATCTTACGATTTACAGCGACTCACAAAATTGATGGTAATTTGCCGCCTGTAATATTGAAGCAATTTATAGTGCTCTTTACCGATTTCCGATTTTTGAAATGAATAAAAGACGTCTATTCTGAGAATAGTGACAATACGTTTTTACAGCTAAGGTAAAACACATTTCACAGTGGTAAATCAGGATGCATTAGACATTAATTGGCACACCATGCTGTGAGCAGTTTCTCTTTGTGCTTTAATGGTCTTCAAGCGATATATTCTCCCTAATTCAATCAACCTTGCACAGATAATTTCCCACAACCATAAATACAGCATGTATGACACTTAATTTTGATTGGTGCTTCCTCTCTCTTCTCCAGGGTGCTGCCATGGTGATGATGATGCAGACTTTCTTGGGAGAAGAGACGTTTTATGAGGGTGTGCGGAATTACTTAATGCGTCATTTGTATGGCAGTGTCAAACGAACCGATTTGTGGGCATGCTTGACAGAGGTATGTGCTTTACCGCTGATATGAACATCATTAATACTGCATAAATCAATATGAGATTCCCTGAAGGCTATCAGGATTCCAGTGAAATTAGTTTACATGTATTTGCATTCAACATTAATCACCATCAACGATGCTCCTGTAAATCAAACACATGATTCATTTTCATGCCGAACTAATGTTGAGACGGACTGTTCCTTTGGTACATGCAACCATGAGTCAATAATGTGAAGGAAGAAATATATTACAAAAACAACATTCAGAGAGTTTGATGTTTACACAGGATATAAAGAGTTGTTTTGTGGTGTATTTCTCATCCAACCATGTTTAAAAGAGCTAGGCTATAAATGATTAAAAAACTTGGGTATTTGAGTGCATATATATGACCTTTATTTATTTATTTTTATTTATTTGTTTGTTTATTTAATTTGGTGCAACACTCTTTGAACAGGGACTAGCTATAAAAACAAGGAGCTGGAAAGTAATTCATAACAAAAAATAAAAAGCATACATGATTTCATGACTAAAAAAATCTTTCTTTTTTAGTTCCCGTTAGGACATGTATCTTAGAAATGCCTGGACCAATCACAATCAAACTTCACACATACATCATACATGATATCATACATATGCACGTCAATTTGTTTTATGATCTGATTCAAGATGGCTGAATGGCGGCCATTTTTGTGCTAAAAAAGCATTTCTCGGCTGTTTAAAGATGGATTTTGTTCAAACTTGATATATACATTAGACATTATGGGACCTTGATGCAAATAAATTTGTTTTTCAGATAACATTCAAAATGGCCGACTGGCAGCCATTTTGTTTTAATGAATGGGCTTCTAGACCCATATCTCCGACTTGTTTTGACTGATTATGTTCAAATTTTAAATATTCATTATACATCATGTCATAGATAGACAGATATATTGGTTTGACGATCCTATTCAAAATGGCCGATAGATTGTCATTTTTGTGCTAAAAAATCATCAAATATCAAGCATTTCTGGCATTTATGGATGAATTTCGTTCAAACTTGGTACATTGTACATACATTAGACATTACGGGTTCCTGATGCACGTCATTTTATTTTTCAGATCAGATTCAAAATGGCTGTCTGGCAGCCAATTTGTTTTAATGAATGGGTTTCCAGACCCATATGTCTGACTTGTTTTGATTATGTTCAAATTTTTAATATTCATTATATATTATGTCACAGATATACGGATATATTGGTTTGACAATCCTTTTCAAAGTGGCCTAATGGTGGCTATTTTTGTGCTAAAATAATCCTCGAATATCAAGCATTTCTTGCATTTATGGATGGATTTTGTTCAAACTTATAACACACATTAGACATAACAGGTTCCTGACTGGCTGACTGGCAGCCATTTTGTTTTGCTTCTCGAGCCATATCTCTTAAAGGGCCATTACACATTAGGCTTTGACTGATTATATTCAAATTTTATTTATTCGTTATACCATAGACCTTCTAAGGGCTATGGTTATACATCATGTTATATATATATACATGTATTTAAAATGGCTGATTTTGAATGCTGTTCCAGAGCAATATCTCTCAATATGGACAAGTACTTGTTTGACGATCAGATACAAATGTCAATCATTTTAATGTTAAAAAAATCATATTCCTGACATGGTTATATTCCAGCTATATTACTATAAACAAAACTATATATCTTAAATTTGATAACTAACAGGGACTGTGCCATGCATGGCATGCATGGTGTCAATAACTTTATTAATTCCTTAAAATTTACTTTCTCTGTTTGCCTGACTATTGATAAATTCACTTGTAGGCTGACATAGGTAAAGGAGACACAGATTTCAGATCTCTGATGGAGCCATGGCTGCTATATCCTGGCTATCCACTCGTCACTATATTAAGGCAGGGTAGTGTCATAACAGTGGAACAGGAACAATTCTTAATACAACCTTTGAAAAAAATCAGGTTAGTTCTCATTTTTAGAATTAAAAAAAAATCAGTTCTAGTCTTCGTGAATCACACTAGTGTATTTTATTATAGTAAAATTAGGAACGACGTCAAAAGATCGATGTCTGATAAAAAACTTATTTGCTTTAGTTTGGAGGTGGGGGGTTTTGACCTCAAAAAGTTTCCATCCTACAAAAACGATTTTATTTTTTAATGAAGTAAAAAAATCCTTAGAGTATTTGTAGTTCGTTTTTTTTTAAATCAATCATAGACAGAAATAACAAAATGAAAAAAAAACATCCAAGACGAGAAAATAGTTTGGTCCGATATGTGTGTCAATTGAGGTCAATTTCCTGGCATAGACCTAGAGCATGCGCAGAACCCAGAAAAGTAGTTTGAAAAGAAAGCGTATATTTCCCTTCATTTTTACAACCAACTGCTATGCCATATTACTGTTCAATTATCAATTTTTATTTAATGGGGAATGTAGTCTGACGCCATGATCAATATTTATCAATTAAGTTTCAGTGGGGGGGGGGGAAACTAAAGGAATTAAGTTTTTTATCCGACATCGATCTTTTGACGTCGTCCCTTAACTGTCAGCAATTTATCAAAGCTGAGGTTGAGGGCGCTATTTCATATGTAAGGGAATTATAATTTGTTTCTATCTTTGCTGTACAGTAATTGGTCAATACCACTGACATATTATCATTCTGGTAATGTGAATGGTTCTCCAGCCAAACGGATATGGTTCACTGGACACACAGGTTCACTAGTTATTTGTTTATTCAATTCTCGAATTGATAGCATTCGCATATTGCGTGACCCTGACATAAACAAACCAAAAGGTAGAACAGATTTTGAATGTTCAAAATGCGCAAAGACACAATACACCACTTGCCCGTGTTTCCAACTCGCAGCGTAAAAAACACCTCAAATAAAAGGGCCAAGATCTTTCAACTAACTTGCATCAGCCTTTGTTTACTGTTCTGCCTATTAAAGCAAGAAAAACGAATATGCAAATTAACGTTGGCTATATACAGTACTTACATAACAAACTGAGTATTTGTATAATTATTAACTCAAATCCAGCTTTTTTGTTTTGCTGTATTAAAATTTATACTCGCAGTTTATTTCGGCCTAAGAAGATGTCTTCTTGATTCATGCAAAGAAAACTATGGAAAAGTTGTGCAAATTCAGATCTAGATAATTCTACGATGAACTAATTTCTGGCTGATCACTTCCCCTACAGCAACTTTTAACCTGACTGGAGTCAGTGAATCTGATTGGACGCTATTCAACATCAATCAAACAGGTTATTATCGTGTTAATTACGACACTGATAACTGGTATAAATTAATCAATCAGTTACAATATGACCACCGAGTAATTTCATGTCAAAACCGAGCTGCTTTAGTGAGTGATGTCCTAGCAACAACACAGTCACAACATGTCAGGGCCGACTTATCACTACAACTCATGGAGTATCTTGTAAATGAGACAGACTATTCACCATGGGTTGCATTGCAGAGTTCTGTTTCATATATTGACAGAATGCTCGGGAGGACTCCTGTGTATGAAAGATTCCAGGTATATTTCAGTTTCTTTCCCTGATACTTGAATGCATGCACATATCAATCTCAGCACAAGACAAAGTTATATTCAAAATGAAAATTAGAACAGAAGGGTTGTTTTGAAAATGACAGTATTTCATTTGCACAGCAAGTTTCACATCAATTTTGTTTTGAGAGAAAAACACACAATATGATTAATTTTATTTTCTTCCCAGAATTTCATCCAAAGCCTGATTAAGCCGATGTATTATAAATTTGGTTGGAATGTGAGTTCGATACAAAATATAGTAAATTAGTAAGTATATATATAAAATTATAGTATAATAATAGTTTTTACTTGAATAATTTTTAATGAAGCAAGATTTTAAAATAGACATTATGATTAGGTTTTTCATGAGATAGCACTTTATAAATAACAAATTGACGGTAGATGGAGATATGATAGCCCTGTCATTTAGTTCCAAACTTGGAATAGCTTTGGTGGCAACTATCCTCTGTATGTACATTTAGCATTTGAATGCACATGCAATAAAAAAATCAGGAGAGACAACAGTGACATTCAATATCAATATCACTGTTGTCTAGCTGAAACATATATATTTTTAATAAAAGGTGTTTACTGTAACATGCTAATTTATTGATTAGCAAAACTGGTATCAAATGGTGGTAAACTCTAGAAGTTTAGACTTATTAATTAAGTTAAATTATATAAAATATGAATTAAATTAAATATTGTGGGGGCCGGCAATTAAGTTCATACCATGCCTTTTCATTTGTGTTTCTGTGATGTCTTCTCGCTTAGAGGCTGTTGTTAGCATCTAAAACAAGATCTGTGGTATCTATGCATTGGAATTAATGGTCACCAAAAAAGGTATTGTTACTTATGAAGTTGTTGTTTCTTACAGTAAAAAAGCACTCCTGGCAATACAACTTTCTTGTTACTATGGAAATAGTAACTGCATCAAAATAGCAAGAAGGAAGTTCCATGATTGGCTGAGTACTTCTACTAGGTATTAAAATATTTGTACATGAGTTGCGTCTACCAGGAGAGTAGCTTGAAATAATCTTTTCATTGATATAAAATTACATACAGGTATTTCAGCACAGCACCATTTTTGATATTTTTTTTTCAAATCAAAGAAAATCCTATAAACAAGAGATGACGCATGTTCTATTTCAGTATTAATAATTAGTTTCAAATTTCTGCCATTCATTTTTATTAATTTTCAAAAGTGTACAAAATTAATATAATTATGAAAATTATACTAATAAGTAAATATTTATTATTCAATTTTTAAAAATTCTTCGTAGTTACATGCATTGTATATTTGTGCATATAGACTTGTGTAAAAGATCCTGTTAAAAGGTTTAATATTATTATCTAATCACAGTGCAAGACTGGTCTGGTCTACTTTAAAATCTGACCAAAAACCTATTTGGATATTTTGCACCTCTAAATAAGCAAGTACAGCAATACCATTTAACTTCAGTATCATTTTGGCTATTGTGTAGAAAATATATTATTCTTTTTGTCGTGAGAATGGAAATTTTTTTTTTGTAAAAAAAAATGGATGTAGTAGACTTTGTGTTGCGCATATGGCAGTTAACATAGAATTCAAATTTGTACACTACTAAGCACGCTCCTGTGCAAGTTTGCAATGCATTATGGGAAAGAATTCACATCATATATACAATGCAATTGAAAACTAATTATCACACTGGAAACTGAAAAATCAAATGTCAATTTTTTTGAAATGTTTAAAAAAATATTATTGAAGAATAATATATAACTTTTTCCTCCCATGTCACCATGCAAAATTTAGAGAAGAAAAAATGATTTTACCATAGAAACCATTGCAAAAATGTATATTTTTATAATTTTTCATTTCCAGACTCTTATTTTCTAAAAAAGTTATCCGTTGACCCCATTTTTTTTTGTAATTTTCAATATTCTAATGACATAAATGAAAATTAATGATATCATGACAAAGAAGACATGTAATCATTTCAGCTCCAATCTTCTTTATGACATGATTACTAAATGTGTTTTCTATACTCACCAGGTTGAATAAAGATGTCAGTGATACGATATTATGTACAGGATTAATACACAGCAGTGAAAGAGACTGGGTTGCTGCCCTCGCAGTGCTACTGAAAAGTAATAATAACAGGTTGTCTGTGAACTCCAGAAAATCTTTAGCTTGCAGTAGATTACCTGTGGTTTTACAAAGATACATGGAGCAGTCCACACATGCCGGAGACTTTGCCGATATTATTGGTGATGTGCGGGATTCATCACCGATGGGATTTCAGATAGCTTGGAATTACACCCTGGAAAACTTTGATACTCTCAGCAAAATGTGAGTGTATATCACAGATATACTGAATTAGACAAATTATACTCACAGTTTTAGAATTAAGTAGAAAATAAAATGAAATATAAATGTAATCTCAAGATACTTTTGATCTTTGTAGTCTAGTTAATTGCTGCACTTTGAATAGAAGGTAATTGCTTTTACTGTATTAGCTCTATTTGAAGCATGTTAGAAACACGCATAGTTGAATGTATTGCATTCTGGATCATTAAAATATAACTTGTTGACCATAGAAACACCACTGTTGTTTGCATATAGGTGCATGTGCTACCAATAAAGCAAATACGGTAATTAATTATCAGTGTTTGGCTTCTAATATGTAATTTTTTTTACAGTGATAAAGCCAGTACATATGATTTACTATGGAAGTTTGTTAATCACATGAACTCAGACAAAGATCTAGACAATGTAAGTATTATATCATCGTAGAAGTAGAGGCAATTGATTGGATGCATAGTGAAACAGTTGTGGTATCAGGATGTATTACAATGACATCATTGTTGCATTGCACTGTGGGATATGTGTGTATACAAGTAATGATGAATTCATATATTAATAATTTGGCTGTTCAGTGCAATAAAGCAGCGTAATAATTTTCTATATCTCCATACTGTTTAGTTGATATCCTGAAAATCATTTCTAGAAAAATCGTTTTGTTTTTGTTTTTGTTTTTAGAATATGTATTTAGAGCATCTATGTGTCCTAATGGCATAGTTGTATTATTGAAATTACTGTAGAAATCTTCTCAGGTTTTTTTAATAGATTTTACATATGATACCAAATACCCGAAACCTGCATTTTTGTGGAGGGAGCTTTTGGGTATAAAAGGCCTGCCTGCCTTCCTTTTGGCTGGAGCTAGAACAATTATTTCTGTCATTTACAATCATGTTTGACTGCTACTGACTTTCTATGCTAATTAGTGTTTTAATTGCTGTGTTAATTGCACTGGTGAACGTGATCTTGTTTTTGACTACGTGTATTATTGTTTTGTTATTCATAGTGATGATTTATCACCATCTTACCATACTTGTCTGACTCATCCCAAAAAATTGCTTAGTCACGCCAAGAAATGGCCAAAAGACACCAGGTGCCAGATTAGCAGGAATAAATTACGTCTTTTCGGGGGGATTGATTTTTTTTGAAAATCGTTGAAGGTAAAATTTCTTAGTCAAATATTTTTTATTGGTTTCGCACGGTTTCGCTAAAGCCGATCATTTATAACTGGCCCATGAACGCATGGTTAATGTTGAGGCTAGCGAAGATGCATTTTTAAGTATTTCAAGAAATCAGTAATTTCCATACAATCATGTTGTCCGTTTGCAGTTGACATGATTGTTCCTCAGTTCTTGTGAAATCTTCGTCGCATATCACACAAATTGCATACCCTCATCTTATAACTCCTTGACTCAACTCGTATGATTTTTAAAGTAAGGCTTATGCAAGGAATTTAATGTAGTGATATTTAACATATTGCTATATGTTTTTTTTATTCATTGTTGACATTCCTGTTGTTATTTTCAGTATAAGAATTTAAGAAGATACATAACAAAAGATATGACTGATGATTATTATAAACAATATGCAGTGATAAATGGGAATAAAGATTGGATGAAAATGAATTATCAGGATGTTGCTGATTTTCTGAAAAATAAAATACCGTCTGTTACCTAGACAACAACGGTGTAATGCGATCAGTAAAACTTTCATTAAGGAGCACTACAAATAAACATCTCATGCAGAGGTTCTTAAGAAGATAATGTTAGAGAGTGCATGATGTTCCACTGAAAAAATAACTACTAGTATTCCATGCATATTAATTACCTAATTTGCATAATTTTGTAGCTTTTCAGCTTATATTGCATTTACTAATCATTACATTTCAATGAAACTTGGTACATAGATGCTCTTCGGCTATACAAATACCTAATTGGTTTTGAATACTGTACGTTAAATACTTTATTTATGCTTGGAATTAATTTTCGCTGAAGGAATTATAGTCCAGTGGATTTAGCCCTGAAACAGGTCGAACCGGGAAGTAAATAGTACATTAACAAGTTTGGTATCAAAAGAGGGAATATTTTGTAGATTTACCAAAAAAAACCCCAAGAACTGATAACATGGGCAATTTTTTTTACACAGGTAGATGTAAGATTAGTGTTTTTCATGCATTTTAGATTTTTCTTACATTTATATTTTGTAATTAATATTACTTACAGCCTACACATTATTTCATATAGATATTGCTAGTGTTTTTATACACTTTTTATTTAGATAAACCGGAGAAACTATCTGCCAGTTATAGAACAGAAATTTGCTGATGTCAGCACTTTTTGACTCCCATGTGCGAAGCACAAAATGGGAGTCTTTGCAGTTAGTGTGTCTGTATGTGTGTGTGTATGTGTGTATGTGTGTGTGTATGTGTGTCCGACTGTTCCACTGCTATCTCAAGAACCATACATCGGTTTTTGATGAAACTTGGTGCATAGATGCTCTGGGTCAATGCGCAGATTTGATTAGGTTTTGGTAAAAATCCATGCTCGTTAATTACCTAATTTGCATGATAATTAGCTAATTTTTAGCTGTTCTATGACTGTTCCACTGATATCTAAAGAACCACTCATTGGATTTTGATGAAACTTGGTACATAGATGCTCTGAACATATGCGCAGATTTGATTAGTTTTTGGTAAAAATCCAGGCATATTAATTACCTAATTTGCATGATAATTAGCTATTTTTTAGTGGTTCCATGACTGTTCCACTGATATCTAAACAACCACTCATTGGATTTTGATGAAACTTGGTACATAGATGCTCTGAACTAATGCTAGGTTTTGATTAGTTTTTGGTAATAATCCGTGGATACTAATTACCTAATTTGCATAATGATTAGTCAATTTTCGGTTTTTCCACT